AAAAAATATTATCCTCAAATTCCTTTTGAATCTTCCCTGTAAACGTAATTTCCTTTCCAAAAATGTTTAAAGATGGTAAGGAACAAAAAAATACTTTCACAAAAATCTAAACCACCCAGTTATCAACCCTCTTGACAGATGATCAACTTTTCAGATAGGGAATTTTGTTGTTTTTACTGGGTTGTGTGCTTTTTTCAATGAATCTTTCGTGATTAATCTCTGTTTGAGATTGCTTGCTACACTAATCGTATTGTCCATATGGCATTAAAGTAATTTATAGAGTACTAAGATTCTTATTCAACCATGCTTCAGATTTCTCATAAAATAAATCTGCCTTCATTTTTGCTGGAAAAAAACACATTTGTGATTCATAAAATGACTAAAGCCCATCTATTTTTCCTCATATCTGGAAAAATAAAAGATAACAAAAAAAATCCTTAAAGTAATCCTCTGGCAGATACACTTCTTTGTGCAATGATGAACTAAAGGATAAAAAATGCAGTGAAACATGATTTTTCCTGCCCACACTACTGTCAGTGTGGTAATTTCTATTGTCAGGTGGGGATTTTTCTCCTATACCATAGTGTCTCCAGATGCCAGAAAAAGAAGTTCGTTATCAGGCTGAACTGAAATTTCAAGCGTATAACCTAACGGTTATAACAGGCTGGTATGTTTCTAAAGTGAAGTCCACAGAAAAGAACAAACTAACCCTGGCATTATAGTGTCAAAATATTTATGTTTTGCCTTTCTAGAATATCACAGAATCACAGAACATTCTGAGTTGGAAGGGGCCCACAAGGATCATCGAGTCCAGCTCTTGAATGCATGGCCCATGTAGGGGTCAAACCCATGGCCTTGGTGTTATTAGCACCATTCACTAACCAGCTAAGCTCTCCCCATTCAGCATCCCAAGAAAAGCCACTTCTGTAATTCTACCTCTCTCTTCTAACATGGTCTTTCACTATTTTTTGGTACATGAACATGCACTTCATAAGCTACATATAAATTATACTATTATTTGGATGCTTACAGTCATGTTTCTATAAAAGTATTTTACTTTCCCTTGCTGCTGTGTTAGACTGGTGTTCCAGTTGGTTTTTTATTTCATTTCAAAAGGCAAGGCTTGACCAGTGTGAGGTTTGTAGAAGATAAGGGCATGTTGTTCACACCTGTAGAGGTCATCTCATCTCACTGAGGAGAACATCTGTCTCTTTCCATGTAGAGGGAAAAAGGTCTTCCCAGACTAAATAGGTGTTGTGGCTTAACCCCATCAGACAAGTGGGCACCACAGCAGTTGCTTGCTCACTCCCCACCTGTGGGATCAGGGAGAGAACTGTGAAAGTACAACTGAAAAAAAACCATGGCATGTGACAGAGACAGATTGGCAGGTTAGCAGGGAAAACAAAACTGCACACACAAGGAATTAATTCACTGCTTCCTGTGGGCAGGCATGTGTTCTGCCACCTCCAGGAGAGCACGGCCCCATCATTCCTGATGGTAAAACCCCATCACTCTGAATTTCCCCCCTTCCTCCTTCATCACCCCACCCTTTATGGTATGGTGGGGTCAGCTGGAATCAGCTGTGTCTGCTCCCAGACTCTGGTGCACGCCCAGTCCCCTCGCCAGCACGCAACAGGGGAAGAAGAAAAGGCCTTGGTTCTGCGTAAGCCCTGCTCAGCAATAACAGAAACATCTTTATATTAGCAAGACTATGTGTGTTCAGCACACATCCAAAACACAGCCCCATACTAGGCACTGCGAAGAAAATTAGACCTACCCCAGTCAGAACTAGCACAAGAGGAAGGACAGGGGAGCTAAAACCCTGTGGTTACTGAGTGTGTTCCCCTACACGGTCATATAAGTCATATAAGTTGATTTTATGAGGAGTTACAGATTTTAATAGATCACTGAGTGAGAAGCAATTGCTCTCCTTATGTAACCTACTTACTTGAGGCAACCTTGTGTTACCTCCTTGTGATGTCTGTAGGAAGAGTCATCATTAGTGCAGCTCAGTGTGACCATTCAATATTGACATTTTTTTACTCTGGAAAATACTTTTAGGAGTCCTCACTGATCTCACAATTTTTTGAGAAACAGTGAGTTCTATAAAGTGTAAAATCTTCTGACAGTCCCATTTTCTGTGCTCCTACTTCCCCTCCCAAATTATAATTCTCTTACCTCTTTATTACAGTGACCCAACTGTACAGGGGACTGCTGGCTCATAGAAAAAATTTGGAATTAAATTCACCTAAGAATGCAGTACCATTGTAATGGGGTTATAAATTAATAAATAGGCCAACAGCCTTTTTTAAGGACCAATCTGAACAACAGCAGGAGCTGAACCACCAAAGAGGGAAAGGGAATTCAAAAGGCAAAGGATCTTTACAGCAGCTCTGGACAAAAGCTGCTGTATAGCAGATACGTATTAAAGTGAATGGCACCTCAATGCTGTCCCCACCTCTCTCACCTTTCTCATCTTACATATTAAATAAAGATAAATAAAGAATCTGAGACTAGAGATTCTCTTGTGGGATCCACTGTGGGCCACTTCTCGGCATCTGAGTGTGATATACATACATCAACCTGAACAACAAATCTTCTTTTGCCCTTCAGTGTCATTATGATTTCAGTAGGATCGCTACAACTCAATATAAAAAAGTAGTACTCCATCAAGATAAATCATATGAAATGAAAGAGGCTAAATCTTTTCTCTATACCCTTTATTCCTCTGGTTAATTTAGAGAAGATTCTGGGTCCTTTGCAAAGAGCATCCAGGTATGCACTTTCAAAGGTACTCAAGCTCAGCTCCGCCTCTCTTTGTAGTTTTAGTGGAGCTGAACTTCAGACACACTTGACTACATGAAATAAATCTGTGGAATAATTAGAGAATGTGCACATAAGGCGGGTGAGAATGCTAGTTAAAGTATCAGTGAACTAAATGCGACAAGTATTCACAAGTTTGAATGAGGGTATGTGTTACTAACAAAAATATTTTCCACTGGGAAGCGGGCGTAGTAACAAATGACCAAAACAAAATTAAAGGCTGGCAAATTTTGCAATACTTCTGGTGATTCTGTGGAATATGATATGGTAAACATTTATGAAGCAATCAGTGGCTGAACTGTGCAAAACCCAGACCACTGAATTGCCACATCCACTGTTGAACACTGCACTGCAGTAGGTTGCAACAGAACCAGGAAAAAGTATAGTAAATGATGGCACATTAGAAGAAAAAAAGCAAACAAAACAGAACAATAGGAATTAATAAAAGTCCTGGAGTGTTTCTTACTAAAAATATAATGCTTTTTGGACTACCATGTGCAGTGACGTAAAATCTGCAATAAATACTTGATGTTTCATCACTGGTTCAAATGCCTATCAACATGCATAAGTATTCAAGCTTTTTTTTTTGATTCCTCCCTCAGTCAAATATGAATTATTGCTTACAAAGAGAAATAATTGTTTAACTGCTGTTACTGCACCTTCTGTACTGCAAGAAGTGTTAAAGTATCATATTTGAAATTTTTTGCAACAGGTGGTAATATAAAATGCAATAGTAGTAAATTTTGCAAAAACATCAGAAATTTGATAGAAATGAAAGTAATGGGAGGATCCATACAGCAAGCTTCAATTTTTCACTAACACAAAGGTTTATCTGCCATTATTTTAAGGTAAATATTAAGATATAAACTAGCTTCCAGAATGATTTTGATTTTTTGCTGGCCAAAAGGAATACCCACTGATAAACTTTTTTGGGGAGTTTTTATTGAAGGCAGATTGCTTTGAAAGGTAGGTATTGCAACAGTATAATAAAAGAAGGGTTACTGTTGGATAAGATAATACTACTTCAAGTCACTCAGGACTCATTTGTATAGCTGAAGACTCTGGGACTCTGCCTAACATGTAAGAATCTATTTAGGTTTAAAGAATTGTCTTTACAGTTTTAAAAAAATATATAATAAACTTATGAAACAAATACAATGCAGGCATCTTCTAAACTTATGTTTAGATTTAAAACTTTATTTCCACACATGGAAACTTGTAGGCACAAATTACTTCATATCCAGTTTTCAAATAAAACAATTGCTAATGAAATTGCAACAACACATTTTCATGATAACTATATACTCAATATTTCACATATACATATAAAAATCATGCATTTTAAAGATTCATTTTGGCTAGATCATATTTTCTGGGTGCTAAAATTCACTGTAGACTTTACATATTTTAAATATTCTTTATATACTTTTTAAAGAGATTAATATACTGATACCACATTCCCAAACAAAACACAAAATGTAATAAAGCTGTATATTTTCTTTATTTACCTTATATTTTTTCTGTATTAAAAAAAATAATTCTATAAGTAATAGCAAAACAAATGTTTTCAACCAGCTCACACTTATGCAAGATATGTAAAATCTAATAGTATAAACTAGGATGGCAATGCGAGGGTATAAAATATCCTCTCTTTTGAGACTGTGGTCCTTGAGTAATATTGCTTCTGTACTGGCCTTGCTTTCATACATGCAAGTCCATGAAATACTTCATGGCTTATAGTGTAGCAGGTGAGGAATCAACTGGGAACTAAAGGAAATGGTCCTCAAGCCTAACATTGGCAGCTACTAGTTTTGTTTCCGTATTTGCCATACAATTACTCTTTTCTTGCTATGAGGCACATTCAGAAAAAAAGTCCAGGGCCAAAATTCAGCCTGTAATATCTTTGCAGTCAGTACATTTTAAGTAATTCAGATCCCCTATACTGTACTTCTGCAAGATATTTTACTACGTAAATTATTTCTCCAGTTAAAGAAATAACGTTAAAAGGTCCTTTACATAGCCTTTTTTTTTTTTTTTTTCTCTTTGATTTTTTTATCATTATTCCATGCTGGCTGCTAAGGCATGTGCCATGCATGATGACCTTTGGCACTGGTGTGTTAGCATCTGTGGGCAACCTCCCTAATTTTGATCTCTGTATGTCTCCTTAAGGTTGATCATGGTTTTTTTCCCCAGCTTCATCCACAGGATCCAATGCTGTGACGTTGAGTATCATCAGCAAGTTTTTTTATACACGGTCGATGTATAAACATTTATAAAAGTCTTACTAAACGTAGTGCTTTTAAATGCTTTGCATCCCTGATCTGGAAATACTGTTTGATTTATTGACAGACAGTCAAGAAAGATGCACTTGGCTGTGTAAGCCAAACCAGGCTTCTTTATGTGTTTCAGAAACTATTTAAGAATGTGAAGAGACAGTCTGACAAAACACAGAGTGAGCACTGAACTGCGACAGAGGAGATCTGCCTTTGTTCCTGGGTCTGCCACTAACCCACTGGGCAACCTATGTGCAGCTGTTTCCTCTCTTCATGCCTCACTTTCACCACCTGAGAAGTTAAGATAATGATGCTGTCCTTTTTTGCAAAAAGTGCTTTGAGATTTATGGAGAAAGAGTGTTGTGTAAGAGCCAGGAATTTATTGTCAATGAAGAACCTTAACTTTTTTCCCTGCTCTTTATAGTTTTCTCTTCTAATGCAATGAAGAAAGCGCACACAAAAAAGTCTTTCTGAAATCAGTAGGAGCTTCCCATTTGATTCTACTGGTGCCAGAATTTCTTCTGAGTGAATGACAAAAGTTGTGCTCCTTTCTAGACAGTGCTAATAGCAATTCTTGCTCAAAGAAATGTATACTATCACTCTACTTATGAAATACCTGCACAGCTGTTAGAAAGGTGGAAGGTAAGCAAGCAATAACTCTGAGAGAAACAAGGTAGCAATTTTCAATGCAACTACTGCATTTGAGCATCTCCTGGAAGGTATTTATAATGCAACAGCATGCATGCTAATAATATTGGTACTTGACTTCATTTTCCCATGTTTCTTGACATAAACATTTACTAAAAGTATGGTAGGCTTTTTTATTGGTTCAAAACAGTTCCTAAGGTGCAAATTGTGACTTATGCAATTTTAATGTGTCCTTTAAAAACTGTATGTGCTTATTCTGTCTTAGATGGGCTTTGTTATCAGTAGGATTCATACTTCTGTCATTCATATTAGTATTTAAGAAAGCTTTGGAGATACACCCAGGAAAGCTCACATTTTGTACAATTTTTCCCCTTTTTAAGGTTTTTAGGAGAGTAGTTTCCCCTGACAGAGTGTTTGAAATATTTTGGTTTTCTATTCTGAATTTTGTATTGCATTGTAACACAGTGCTGACTGCAACCCTTAATATGCCAAATCCTGTAGTGCTTATCCCAGAAAATTTTCTATTAAAGGCTCCAGTGGGCCCTAACTCCACATATAGGATTTGGCTCTATAAATAGTCACAGCAGTTCAAATCATGAATTTAAATGGCAAATATAAAACTCTCCAGACAACATAAAGGCAGTAGATCTAGTAGTGCAGAAACATAACCCCATTCTAATTGAAATATAGTAATGTAAAGAAGCATCACTTATTTAATCTGATAATTTGAATAAAAACTTTGTATCCTGCATTGACCCCTATCCAAGGGTACCACCAGTTCACCAGTTCAAAAGACATTCCATTCACTCACTAACCACACCATGTGTTCACTTAAACAGCAGCAGCATTTGAACTGAGTCTTTCCCACAGAGGCTTTTTAGGGGACTCCCCAGTCAGTCCTCCCAGGGGAAACTTTCTGTCTGTACATGTACACCATCTTTATACAATCTGACATTCTCCACAGGCAAATGTCTGCTCTTCTGAAACGTATTTGGGCCAGAAACACTGGTCATTCTTGAAGCGGTGAGTCCAGAGAAGATGATGATCTCCATCTCTCCTGCAGGGACTGCCTTTTCCAAAACTTTCAGTTCAAATACTGCATCCCACTAGAAAGAAATATCATGCTGAGGGGTAGAGATAATATCTGTTCCTTTTAGCTGCTATACCCACACTTCCTTTTGCTGTGCAACAGTTCATTTATTTGGCAGATCCAAGACTCTCCTATGCACACTGTCCACCAGTCACTAGTGAAAATGGCACAGAACTTTTTGTTCACAACATTCTTAATGAAAATGATTAATGCCACCCAGAATGCATTTGCATGTTCTAGGTTTCTTCACAACTATTTCTTTGATTTTCTTCTGACATTGTACAGTACTTTCTCCTGCAGTTATATGCAAATGAAAATGATATTAAGTTGACTTTCTAACTCTTTCACATTACAAGAATGATAAAAATTCTTCTTTTCTGTAAATAATAAAATTAGGAATCCTGGGGCATCTTTCCTTTTCTTCCTGATTTATTTTCGTTGAGTGCATGCTGTATTTGTTGATTTTTGTCACGGCAACCACAGTACCTCATTTTTTTCAAATTCTAAAGATTTCTTCCAGAACAGATACTAATAAATAGGATCTTGCATGGTTGTTTGGTGTCTATAGGTTTTACATGCGTGTTCTCAGGTAAGACTTCACAGCTGACTTCTGACAATGCAATTTCACATCACCACACATTTGCCTTTCAGCTTCTCCTTCCTTTTCTGCTGCTTACTCTTTTTGCCATCAATCTGTAAACTCACAGTCCTGCGTTTCTCCAGGTTGAGCAGCTCCTGGAACAACTCTTTCACGTTGTGGTTTGTCTTGGCAGAAGTCTCCATGAAGGCACATTTCCACTTCTTAGACATGGCTTCTCCTTCACTGCTTTCCACCTCTCGATTCTGGTTCTCATCGTTTTTGTTCCCCACCAGCATTATCGGAATGCTTTCGATGTCTCCTTTAATCTGGCATATTTGTTCGTAGATGGGCTTGAGCTCCTCCAAGGACTGCCGGCTGGTGATGGAGTAAACCAGGATGAAAGCGTGTCCTTTAGAAATGGAAAGACGCTGCATGGCTGGAAATTGATGGCTCCCGGTCGTGTCGGTTATCTGCAGAGTGCAGATGCTCTTGTCGCAGCTGATCACCTGGCGGTAGGTGTCCTCTATGGTGGGGATGTAGCCTCTCTGAAAGTGCCTTTCACGAACCTCAAAACCAGGGAACTCTTGCCCACTCCTCCGGCTCCAAACACGACTACCCTGTAGTCGTTGCTTTGCTCAGGCATGTTTCTCTGGGCGTCACTTGATCAGCTAGGGGGGAAAAAACCTCTAGGAAAGAGAACGACAAAAGCAAGAAAACAGATGTTAATACAGGTACATGTGAAGAGTGCATGTTGCCATATCTTTCCCAGTAAGAGAAAAAATGTGATGTAATTGATGGCATACCAGTTGTAGTGATTTAAGAAGATTTGCAGGGGGTTACAGAATTATTTTTTTCGGGAGTAAATTTAGGGTTTGCAATCCAGTCTGGTAACAAATGACCTTTTTTACTTCCTCATGGCTGACTATAAATTTATATCATGAGTTTTAGTATTCTTTCTACTCTACTAATATCCACAGAAACAAAAATTTGCATCTGGGACTTTCAACAAGGCCAAGGCCCGAACAAGTTGTACAGACTGAATTACCCTTCTACCTTTAAACAGGTTTTCTTCAATCATAGTTGAAATATGTTGGTGTACAGGTGTATACAGTCAGTTACTCTGAATGTGCTGTACCTTCAGTAGTTGCAGAATTTACCTCCACTAAAACTGGACAACTCCTTTTGAGTGACAGCGAAGACATACTGGCAGATTATTCATCAATAGCACAAGATTGCTTTGTTTTTAAATTCTGTGGGAGTGTGAGCCCCACTTCAATGTGTTCTTCCACTTGCATTTCAGATCAAAGAGTACATTTTGATAAACTCAGGTTGCTCAAATTCAGTCTGCCTTTTCATTCTGATATTTATCTTGCAGTACAGGATATTTAGCATGACATATGCTACGCTTTTCGGAGAGGTTGTTTTTAGTTTTTAGTTTTTAGTGGCTTGTACTGTAAAGGCTTGCAAGTGCATATGTCAAAGGTCACAAAATTCTGTGATTCCTGAAGTCAGTTCCCCTTGACAAAACCCGTCTGTGAAGAGTAGGACCACAAATACTGGCATAACTGTTAAATAACAGAAATGGTAAAGTTTTCACATGTTTTCAAGCTGTAGCTGTTTCAAAATTCATTGAAAAAATAAAAGTAAAGATGAATTTGCCCTCCCATTAGTAGCAGCTTGTTAGGTATACACCACACACAAGACTTTTTCATATTTAGTGAGATTTAAGCAAATAAACACTAAAAAACTGAACCCTAAAATTGAAGAGAATCTAGGATATTGTTACTTTTCAGACCAGATTTAGATATATAGGTAGTACATGCAGGACAAACTGCAAAATTTGCTGAATCTGTATTTGTTCTTAAGAAAATGAGCTGTTTTAAAAGATGACCTCACCCAGGTACCTCAATGGCACCAAGTGATTAAATCTGCCTGCTGCAATTTTGCCTGGGTAGCAGTAAATCCAGAACAACCCAAAAGAACTTCTTTCCTTTGAAGGAAAGCCTTCAAGATATTTCTTCAACGCACCAGAAGGAGTGATTGCATTGCAGGGTGGGATTTTGAGTTACCTTTAACCTGTCTAGCAGCAGGAGAACAGTGATGCCCTAGCGATATGGATGTTAGTGGACCCTCCATGACCTTGTCTCGGTGGCAATCTCACACCTAAATTTTTTGCTTCTAGCGTTTTGATGCTGCTGCTGTTTGTGCCACTTCAAGTTGGGTTACAGCAACCCATGCTGCACTAATGTCTTCATTTTGTTGTTCAAGCATACCCTCATTTTGTCATCCTCCTTGTCCAGGGCATCCTATGCTGTCCTAATTCTAATGCCTGAGTAAGCTGAAAACATCTGTCTTTACATAATGTGTTGGGTGAAAGAGTTGTGCTTCCTCATTTGCTATAGGATAGGCAGAATAACCAGTGCACCCTGGCCTGCTGATCCCGAGGCAAAGTGGAGAGCTGTCACATCTCTGCCCACCCAGGCTGGGGTGCAAATTGATGCCTAAAATGGAAGAAAAATTCTCCAAAGAGTATTAGCAGAGTTAAGGTAGAGACCAGTTCTTCAGTGAAAGCTTTCAGGTGCAGGCAGTCCACCACAGAAGGTAAAACTTTACCCCCTCCATCTCTCCAGCCACTGTCACTCTGAGAAACTTGTTTAAATACAGGAAAGACGGATAAATAGGAGTGTTCATCCTGAGGCATTGAAGCAAAATTGGTTTTTCTGAGACTAGAATTCAAGGAATGGAAAGGAAAGGTAGCCTCAGAAAACATGCTGATGTATGTATTTACAGAAGAATGAAAACCCTCTGAGGAAGAAAGAAAATGGGTGAGCAGCTCATGATGTTAAGAAAGAAATAAAAAAGAAAACCAACACAAATCCACCAAAGTAGCGGGAAAAATTGAGGAGGAACAAGAGGAAGCTAAGCTGAATGCTGTTCCACAGAGGATAAATCTTCACCTAAGAGCTGCAACATGCAGTTTCAGAACAGTCGTAGAGTTTACAGCTGTGGATGACTGCACAGAATGAGCTATCATAAGAATTATAGTTTAATAATTTCTTGTGAGAAACAAGGCAAGAGAGGAAAACCTGGCTATTCCACCTCAGAAGCAGCTGAAGCATTGCTCACTCATATAATATGCTGTCTAAGAACTATGGGACAAGGAGAAAAAACGAACAAGGAAAATTTTTACTAGGAAAATCAGTGAAATGTGGAGCAGAGAAATAAAATTTTAAAAGCTAGCTGAGTGTACTCCTGCTTTATTACACCTTATGCTTTGAGCATACTCAGAAATCTCCAAGAAATCTGCCACATATGGTAGCCCAAAAGATAGAACAAATTGAAATGTGGCACTTTGTGGCACAAAGAATTAAGCATATAAAAAACTTCTAAGGGATCCTGAAATGACATGGTAATGGTCCTCAAAACATAGCAAGTCATTGTCTTCATAATAGTAATTCTATACTGAGGTATATTGCTACTGAAACTTAGAGAAGAACATCTGTATCATAATTACATAATTCACTGGTATTTGTAGGGGATAAATATTTGTAATATTTGACTCTGAAAGAAGGTATCACAGAGTTTGAGAGCAGAGGGAAGTATAAAGAAAGTATTAATTTTTTATTTTAGGCAATTGTCATTGGTTTTATACAAAATATTTTGTGAATTTCCATTCAAAATCTTTTAAAAACCGGCTTTCTATTTATTGATATTTCCAGTTTACCTCTTCCACTGTTTTCTTTTCAAATTTTCTTCTTTCTTGTAACCAAGGAAGAAGTTGAACACTTTTTTCGAATTTAACATTAAATAGCACTCTAAAAAGAAAATTATCTTTTCCTTGTTTTCTGAAGTATAGAACACTATGGCCTGAGGTACTGCAAGGAGGCACAGGGACATTTTTGAAACTAAGGCCACAGGGGTCATGCATGCTCTTCAGAAAGGGGAAGGGGAATATTAGGTAAAGAGTGGGAAGAAAAAAGTTGATATAGAAGAGGTCAGAAGTTCAGTTTAGTCCTTGCAGCAGAACCCACTCCAGCAATTTTCCTTCCAGTATGATGGGAAGCTCAGGTGGAACCAGCTTGAGTTGGTGTCTCCTCAAAAATGATGCTATGCACTACCCATCCTTGGTACAAAGCACTTTGTACAAACTTCTACCATCAGTGTATGCGCTAATTTCAGAATTATGCTCTTTTCTTTGGCTCTTGTGGAAGCTTCAAAACCCCTCAGTCACCTGGCGCCACTGAGCAGAGCAGAAAAAGATGTCACCTTGCAAATGAAAATGAAAATTGTGCCAAAACATTAAGCCCAATGTTCCTTTTTATGATATGTAACCTTATGAAACTTCTCAAATCTAAATTACTCTTTTAGCGAACGGACACCAGCAAAGGAGTTCTCACCTACTAAAGAAGTGAAACCATAAAAATGGGACAGATGTCTCCAAGTTGGCAACTAGTTTTGGCAGACATCCAGAATACACATACACACACACACAAAACTGTATTTCAGACAATTATTTTTTCTGGCTAAGAATTAGTTAAAAAGTTCTTTTAATCTTTTATCAAAGCCAGTCACCACTTGGGCTGCTTAAAATGTAACACATTAACTACCACGTAAAATATCTCTCTTTCACAACTTTAATGCCATGCCACAGCAAAGAAAAAAGCAGCAGTTGTTAAAAAAAAAAAATTAAATTAAACTGTACACTCAGTTTCTCAGCCATTTTCCTTGTCTATAATAGAGTGAAAGGTTTTGGATGAGCAATGTAGCTTCGTGCACAAGAACAGGATGTTATTTATTCCAGCTGAAATGAAGCCCTCCAACAAATCTCTGATGTTTGCATTCTTCTCATTCTTCTCAAACCTGAAGGCAACATTATCTTGGAAAAGGATGTAAAGTCAACAGCAAACAAAATTAAACCTGAAACTAAAGAATATCATATGGGGTAAATAATATTGTTTCTTTTATGGCAGCAAGGCATTTAGTGTTTCTAACTCAGTCAGCATAACAAGGGTACAAAGTGACATTTATTTCCAGGTCAGGATAGTTATGTTTTCTCTAGATGGTGAAGCAGGGCTATGTTATGTTCCCACAGAACCTTAGTTAGAGCTATTTGCCTTTTTCAAGTTTACAGTGGGTGACATTTCAGTGACGCATTGTCGGGTTACATCACATTGTCGTCAAAATTAGAGCTTTTATTCTCCTGCCTCAGGAGAAATATCTCCATGGCATTTCAGGAGAGTATGACAGAATGAGCAACAATGGACAGAAAAGAACAGGGTAGGTTCTCAGTCAGGTTAAAAGAAGGAAACTCAGGAGCTGAGGCCATGCTACAGAAAGCATAACGACAAGACGTGTCGGTGTCCTGTCTATTTCTGCTGTCACAAGATTTGGGTTCATAAGCCTTGAGTTCACTTGAGTTCATCAAGTATTCCTGGGTGAGAACACCTGGATAACTTCCACAACAGAGTCAGAATAAATTTTCTGTTTCTTGTCTCCTATTTTGCATAAATGTCCTGTTGAGGAACACTGTTCACTTCAGCAACAAATTGATGCTCACATTACAATTCTTGCTAGTTTGCAAGATTACATTCACCTATTTACTATTTCTTTGGTTTACTTAAATGGATATCTACAGAGCTTCTCTCACATTTTATTATGTTAACTGCTTCACCCATGGAATGGAAAT